TAGATATATGCCATTGTTATATACTAGATCTTATAAAAGAATATATTATATAATTCTGTAAAAGAGTCCGAGGTCCTTTATAATTCAATAGAAACTAAGGCCTTTCTCTACCTTACTAACTATTTTGCTATATATATATAAAGTAAGATACTTATAAGGATTATTTTGCATACCTTCAATATATCGTATATTATGAATTGAAAGTATAATTAAAATAATAAAATGTGATTATGAGAGTATAATGCGTGAAAAGGCGCGTTTTGTAGAGTTTCGGCTAATAGAAGTGCACGGTGACTGTAAGATAAGCTGAACTTCGCTTATAATGGTCGGGAACATAGTTCTAGACTCAACCCCTGTGGTGGCAAGATCCGTGGTCAATGAAACGATTACTTTATTAATTATAATCAAATCTTGAATATTCAACTATAATGGTTGAATGGGTAAGTATTATAAAACACACTAAAAAGCGGCTGTGCTTTTCCTTATATATAAGGGCTCTAACTAATAAAAATATTATACTCTTTTAAAATTATTATAATGAATTTTAGTATATCAAAATATTGTAAAGAAATATTTGAGTATATTTAATTATATTAAAATCTTATATATATTCTATTTATTGCAATTATTGTTTTGTAATACTCTCTTATAGATTTTAATAATTTTTTTAAATAATTCTCTAGAATTATTTTTTATACTTTTTTTATAATTTTTTTTAATATCTTATAGCTCAATTTATTTATAGAATAATAATTCCAAATCTATTTTTTCATTTAATTCTATATATTTTTAATAAAATTAAGATTAAAAAAAAGAAAGATTAATTTATTTTTTCAATTTCTTTTTTAAGAAAATCTTGAATAATAATATTTATAAAGTGTTCTGGTATATTATCTTATATAAATATATAATCTGGATTTAATCTTATCCAATTATAAATAATAGATATTATATAACGTGATTCATATGCATGCGGGCCATATCACCATGTGGGCCACTTTCACCTCAATTCCCATATTCAAATTCATATTATTCAACAATCATTGATTCAATTGATTAAAGCTTTTAAGAATCTAATAATATAGGATCTATTACATTATTTTGACAAGTTCTTGTATTATGCCCTGTCAATCCGCACTTGCTACAACATCGACTAGAAGATGCTTCCCCATTAGAATTTCCCCTCTTTTGACGCTCGTCGCGTTGAATCTGAACATCAACCTCTTGTTGAGATAATATATCAAGAGCCTCTTGTCCAGTAAGCACTCCTCCTTGACGTAATTGAATCTTTTTTGCGCGTCGACGCTTGCTTAATGCTTCGTTTGCCTTCCGAAGTGTACGGTTTTCTGCACTTAAAAGTGTATTCTCATGTGCTAATCTCTCTGTACCTTTAGCTAGAGCTAGTACGGTTTTGAATATAGGTGTAGGAGAGCTTGATTGATGACGAGTTATTCGAGATTTAACTAGTGTTGATTGAGAGAGAGCTTCTGTAGGGTTGTGAGGGGTTTGAGAGATCCATAAATCTATATCGAAAGGGGGAGGAGTAGGTGTATGAAGATGAATATCTAGTTTAGAGAGTACAGCTTCAGGATTAAATGGAACTAATCCTGCTCCTCGGAATCCGGATTTCATATTCTGATTTGTGATTGATCTCTCATATGCAGCTTTGAAAGCTATAAAGAATTCGACCTTTGAGATATGGTTGATATGAGCCCTTATAAAACCCTCAATTTGGGTACCATATTCTCGTTTTAAGACACTAAAACAGCCCACATCAAGAGGTTGGGTTAAATGACTTGAATGCGCTGGTAGACATATGCATTTAATGTCATTCTCCTTGCAATAGGCCTGGAATGGTATTGATTCATGGCTTTCGTGCCCGTCCAGCACTAGCATTCTATATCGGCCTTTAGTTCGAGTTCTTGTATGTTTATCGAAGTGTTTTAACCATTCTAAGCCAGTCTCATTATTCGTCCACCCATTGCTTGTAGGTTTGATAGCCCAATCTGCAGGAAGATCAGTCTCCGTATACCAATTTGAAAGGTGCATTTGTCCCTGCACTACTAAAAATGGAGGTATTGTCTCCCCAACAGCATTTCCACATATGATCGCTGTCGCCCACTCTCGATTGCCTGGTTGTATAGCCTTGCTCCTACCGGATCTCTCAGAGCTAGTAACAACCATACCAGCATTTATAATCCCCATCATAAAGCCCGTTTCATCGAAATTCCATAAATCACAATCAAGAATGCCAAATTTAGCCCGCATATTCGAAATAAGTCGGAACCAATCTGCAATAAGCTTAGGATCCTCGCAGAGAGCTCTTTGAAAGTCATAAATGCGATTGAAACGCGTCCTTAGCTCTTTGTTGCGTTTCACAAATCGATATGCCCATTGCTTTCCAACTCTTTTCCCCCCTCTGGAATCAAGAATATAATTGGCCATATCTTCTATCGCTTTATATTTAGGTGCAAAACCTCTCGAATCTAGATCGATTATATATTGAATAATGATATCCTCTTCTAATTCTGAAAGATTATGAGATGTATGTCGATATTCGGTGCGAGGGGTAGATCCGTCCATTCTATGCTGAATCGTAGTACGCGGTACATTATATGCTTTAGCAGCCTTTCGAATGCTTAGTTTTTTGTCTTTTCGTATAGCCTCGATGGCTAAAAGGAGTCGTGCTTCTTTATTTGTAGATTCCATAATAAATGGTTGATATATCGCGTGTTGAATTGAGTGAGTGGGAATTGAGGTGAAAGTGGCCCACATGGTGATATGGCCCGCATGCATATGAATCACGTTATACTTAATAAAATTCAGTATTAATAATTCCCTAATCCTTTTTTTAAAATATATTTAGTCCTTTATTTAATTTGCTTAAAAAACAATTCTAAAATATTTATTCGGTTTTTTTATACTCTCTTTTTAATATATATATATAGAATTAAAAACTTCATTTTTTTGATATATAACATACATCTTTCTATATAATTCTATAATTACTCATATTTTATCTAACCATAAAATAATATCTTATTATTCTTCAATCCAATAAATATAATTTGATATGAATTGAAATCGAATTTATTGATTTCTTTTTAATATAAATTTTTTTTGAAAAATAATATAATATTTATATTTTGTTTTATATAAAATAAATTGAATAATAAATTCTCCTACTTTTTTTTTAAATTAATATAATAATAACTTTCTAATATAACATCCACCTATTTGTTTTTGATTTGCTTATAAATCAAATAAATTGATTAACTTGATTAATAATTAAAATAGAAGATCAACCAAAACGTTTTTGAAAAGTTGCTTATATTTTAATAACATAATAAATCTATCTATATATCAGATTTACTTTTTCTTTAAAAAAGAAAGATCGAATCTCTCCAGATTTTATACCAGCACAATATAAAATGTATATTTTGATTTATTAATCTCGAGCTATTTCTTAATATTTAAATATAAAAAACAACAATAATATAATAAATAATAATATAGATTTAATATTTGAAAATATCAATAATAAAATAAATAATGATAGATTGACTTCTTTCATTTTAATAAATTCAAATATTATATTTTTTTTAGTATATTTACTTTAAAGAAAATATAAAAAATGAGCTTTCTTATAACAATTCTTAAAAATATTTTCTAAAACTAATTCGAAATAGATTTTTAAAAATAATATCAAAACAAACTAAATCAATTAATTAAATCTATTTATTTTGATATTCCAGCTACATGTGGGGTCAATTAACGTTTTATACGACTTACTCATTCAACCATCGTATATATTAAAAGAAATGTTTTCAATAAATTAATATAATTAATTTAAAAATCTATATCTTATAAAATTTATTATAATTAATAAAATCTTAATAAAATTCTTAAATTTGGGATATAATTAAGATCTAATCTAAAGCAATTATTTTCAAATTAAAACATCTATTTATATTCGAATCAAATTATTCTTTTATTTATTCAATACATTTTATATTATATAATATAATAATAAAGCTCTTAATTAAAAAATAAATTGAAAATAAATAATAAAGAATAGAATTCCTCCCTTTTAAACTTTCAGCTAATATCTTTTACTACTCTTTAGTTCCCCCACTCGTTCCCCTTCTTCTTCTAGCTCCTACACTCGCTCCCCTCCATTCACTTCCCTACACCTCTAAATACTAAAGCTTTAAGGCCTACATTTTCTTTTTATTTATCAAAATTCAATAATAAAAGGGTTATAAGAAGTATCGATTCTATTTGTTATATATGACATAAATATATTAATAATATTATAATATATATAGAAAATTTATATCTCTTAGACCGCTGAAAATGAGCTCTGTCGCTTAATAATGATTTATTGATATCAATTAGATTATTAGAATTTTTTAAATTTAATTTAATATTTATTTTTTAACATAAAATTCAATCAATATTATTTTTATATTGTAATCTCGAATATAATAATATATATTAATTTTCAATTCTTATTTTTTCTCTATATTTAAAAAAAAATCGAAATTAGAGTTCAAGATTCTATATTGTAAATAATGTGATTAAAAAATAATTAGAATAAGCATTCTATTCAATAAGACTTCATCATTTGAGATATATCGCACGGACCACTTTCAGAGCCCATTTTCAGTGGTCTAGGGGATAGGAATTTATATTGAATTTCTCTTTGTCTCAAATATTAACTTTATCATCACAAGGCAATGATACAAACCTCAGACGTTACTCTCTCGAGTTTCAAACGCAACACCCCGCGCATCCCAGCCTCAGAATGAGAAGAAGAAGAAGAATATCTATCAAAAAATATCTGCATCTGAGCGATAATATATTGACTGTATGAATGCACAAGAAACGTGGAGACTCAAGCGTATAATAACAACATTATAACTTCCTTGTACTTCTCATCACCAACAAAACCTATCATATCAATCACTCTTCTTGCGACTCTTCTTGCACACTACACGTCACCCAACATATGTACCATACTTCCTGAACTCATTGTCTTCCTGCAATCTTTTCATATCGTCATTTCTCAAGCACATAGCAGCCGTAATTTCGCCGTTCAAAGTCCTAGGCATCAAAAACATCAAACTCTCAACCGTGCTGAAACGCGGTCTACGCACAGCTTCAGGTTTGCCCAATCCAAGGTTAAAATCAAGATCATAAATGCCTATCTTCGCCCAAGAGCTGAAGATGATATCCGTTGAAAGGTTAAGCGTCGCTATATTAGAGGCAAGATTTTTGTCTGGGTTGCTGTTGAGGAACGTGGCGAGGGCGCGGGTATCGTAGACCAGAGTTGATGTCGAAGAATTCAAAGCCGAACGAAGACGTGATGCGACAACGCCCAACGGCTCCTTAACAAGCTCCTGAAGGGTGTACGTATGATACGTCATATTACTCATAAGTCCCGGGTACGTCACTGGAATATTCAGACGACTGCATACATCGATGGACCGCCCGAATGTCGATTCTATCATTGGGTCCAAGCGAGGAAGGCGGGCGCGGATGACGGATTGCCAGATAAAGGCGCTAAGGGCGTCGTCGGTGGAGATGTGATTTGGGCCGGCGATAGCCTCTTTGGCAAGTGATTTCAAAGCAACAAGAGAGGTAGCGGGGAAAATGAAGTAGGCCCAAGTGCGTTCAGGAGATGGAGGTGGGTGTAGTGGTTGACCATTGGCAGCATCGCAGATGGGTTGAGATGGAATGGATTTCACAGTTTGACGAGTAACTTCACCGCCTAGCTTGGAGCGGTCATCGAGTAAAGGGATAAGATTTTGGCGAGGAAGGTTGCCAGATAGCACTTCTTCCTCTGTAAATGGTTCATTGTGGCAGGCCTTTGACAAAAGATACATGATCTGCCCTTGACCAACCATGTCCATTGTCTGGTGCTGGCTAACGAAGGTGAGAATGATGCCGCCAGTTATGAGGTTGGCTTGAAGGATAAAGACTGGTGCAGGATCTGATGCTGATTGATTGCCTGGGTGACCTTTGCAAGGTGCAACAATGTTTTCGTCAAGCATGCTAAAAGGGAAGTTGGATCGCCTGAGGACATCCATGCTCGGAATCGAGGATTCATTTCTGAGATCTTTCACAACAAGAAGATCAGTCTGCTCCAACATACGGATCTTATAGACACCTGTATTGTCTTTGCCTGAGCCTTCGTTGATGACATTGCCTGCTATCCATGGAAAGCTAGTTGATAGGCGATCGAGGCCACTGGTCAATGTGTCGATGATTGTTGAATATGAGGATTCATCGGTTATTGGAAAGCAAAGACAGACCTGCGTATACATGTTGAAAGATGGTTGTTGTCCAAAAATATCTAGACAAACATCTTGCTCTTTTCCAAAAGCTACACTATTCATACTGAGTAAGTGAAAGTGTTGAACCGAACGACGTATTATGCGTGATTTGGAATGAAATAGCTCTATGGTAGGTGTGTAAGAAGGAAAGAGATGACTGGAATGTTGGTAATCAATCGTTCAATAAAGTGAGCTTGATTCTGAACTGGGGATGAAGATTCATCTTAAGTATTATAAGATAGAATGATATTTTGAAATATGCTCTGTCTCGGTAAAACCTCGGATGCATTAGCATGCATAGACTTCTTAGCTCGAAACAGTATGTCGTAATCTATCATTATGACTCATGCTCCACATGTGGGCAAGAGCCTCTTTAGCTCATCGGACCTGCGTCTCAGTACCTCCCACTCCCTAGCAATTAAACTTTATCAGTCTATACGAAAGCTACAAGATTCTCCATTGCAGGGGGCTCAGGAGACGCATGGGACAGTCGAAACTCACTGATGTCTAAGGCCTCTTCAATCTCTTTAATCTCTTCAATACTACTATTATTGGAAGGATCAGTTCTAGTAGCCGCAAATGTCAATGCACGAAAAAATACAATATGAGTCCCATGTGAGCCCTCCACATACTTTGAATTATAACGCTAAAAATTATGTTTCCTCTTGAGATATATAGATGTAATAAGCCCATTGTAGTTGGTTCACTTTGTATTCAATCCAGACAGCACAATTTGGAACTGAGGCAAAAAGCTCATAACACTCGTCTAAACAATAAAAATGGAATTAAAAGCTCAAATCCTGTCGAGCAAGATCTCGGAAGTTTTGCGGGTCATATCAAAAGCCAGGAGCTCTAAATGGTTCATCATCACAGCCGTCAGCGTTGCGATATTTACGGTGCGAGAAATTGCTTCTGAGGAAGCAGAAAAACGAAGCAGATAAGGGCTAATTATCTTAGGACACTTTCTTATACGGAGTTATTGTGCCGTTCTTACCCTTCGCGCTCACTGAAAGGGCAGGCATAGCAGCTGACAGAGGTATGTCTTTTAGGTTGCACGTCTACGAAGGAAAGAACTGCCTCAAAAGAGGGGTGAGAAGAACAACTGACTGATTTTGTCCTTCTAATTCAGTGCAATTCTGGACCTCCATTATGCTTGCGTCGTATAGTGCAGCCTTGGTGGTAGCTGCCCGTAAGTAAGCCCCTTTTTCTTTATCTAGCCCAACGCTAACTTCACTCACAGCAATCTCTGGATACTTTGCTGATAACTCGCGCTCTCGACAATCTCCGTTTCTCCTCGGTCTTTTGGCGCTATCGGGTGGCTCGGTTATGCTCTGTGTTGGCAGAAATATTGGTATACTTGTGGCCGCCCGCGTTCTCCAGGGGTTCTCATCAGGCCTTGTGTGGAGTGTAGGACTGGCTCTCCTTATCGATACAGTAGGTTCAGACGAAATTGGTCAAGCTATGGGGTACGTCGGGATTGGTATCAATCTGGGGGTGCTGCTCTCACCATTGCTGGGTGGTTTGGTTTTCAATCGCAGAGGTTATTATTCAGTTTTCGCTATGGTATTCGCTTTGATTGCTCTCGATATCATACTACGACTAGCAATCGTGGAGCGAAAGCCAGCGGCTCAGGATAATAGTCTTCAAGAAGATGCTGAGAGTAAAATCACATCGGGTAATAATAGAGAAGGCCAGCGCGTATCAATTGAGAACAGTCACGAAGGAGATACCAGACAAAATAACTCGACTGGAAAACGCAGAGTTCCTGCAGCTTTCACACTACTTTCTTCCAAGCGCTTTGCAGTTGCCGTTTTTGTGAGTTTGGTACAAGCAGCACTCACTTCATCGTTTGACACCATTCTTCCCCTCTTCGTCCGTGATACTTTCGGATGGGATTCAACTGGCGCAGGCCTAATATTTCTCTCGATTGTGATACCCGCTCTTGTGAGCCCCGTGGCGGAATGGATATCGGACCGATATGGCACGCGTTGGCTGGCGGCAATCTCACTTCTGCTCGTCTGCCCATTTCTTGTCTGTCTGCGGCAGTGTAGACAATAGTATACTACAATGAAACTGTGGCGTGTATTAGTATATTGATATTGCAGCTAATATATATAGAAAGGAGGCTATATCATTCTCATATATATTCATATATCTAGAGAATATTAGTAATATACTGAAATACTGGAATCCAATATAAAATATACATTTCTATTCAAATTAAATAATAAAATTCTATTCCTTATTTCAAATTGAATAGGAATCCCTTATTTTTAGTCTAATTTGGATAGAAATATATATTTTATATTGGATTCCAGTATTTCAGTATATTACTAATAATATTAAATAACTAAATGATATTGAATACTTTCAGTGGTATTGAATTTTATACCACATATATATATATTTCGAAAAAACTCGATACGCACCACTAAACTAATCTGTATACGAAATACGGGAAATACTATTGCCTACACTGGTCTGCGGTATGTGACACATAACACCATATCTCAAAAGATACTTTTGGTCGCCCTTCTTTTTGGCACAGGTCTATGTCTCAATATAATTTTGGCTCCTGCGATGGCCGAGATTGCCTACGTTATCGAAGCAAAGGAGAAGAAAATGCCAGGTATATTCGGCCCCTCTGGTGCATATGCGCAGTCATATGGCCTTTCCTGCCTGGCTTTTGCTGTAGGCGGTCTCGTTGGTTCAATCTGGGCAGGCATGATTGCTGACCGATCAGGATGGAGTACTGTAACATGGACGCTCGGGCTGCTGAGTGTAGTGACTGTTATTCCAGTAGTCGTCTGGATGGGTGGCAGGCTTCAAATTGGAGCAAGAAGAGAGGGAGATGTAGAGACTATCGAACAGACGTCGTGAGGTATATATATATATAGGAGTTAAGGGTTTTAATATTTCTGGAAGAATGGTTTTACTGGTTATTACTATTCATTGTTTAGATAGATAACCTACATTTTACACCGGACCCCTTTTGAATCATAAAAGAGAAGCATAGTCTTATATACTTTTCGATAATATGTTTCTATCGATTAAGTCGGGTGCCCTATTTTCTGGCCACCCCTGTTTTGGGTTACTCTTCACCATTAACAACCTCAAAGGATGATACTTTTTACTTTTTTTACTTGTGAATAGAATTTATTAAATTTTTTAAATATGTTATTCGAATCGTTTAAAACTTCTTTTAATTTTTTTTAGATTTTTAGAATCTTTCTGAATTGAGATTTAAAGCTTCAAAATATCGATTTTCAAATTTACATAAGACATTAGAGAGTTAATACAAGGTAACAACTAGTATAGAATATAAATATAGGTAAAATATAAGACTTTTCATTGATTCCTTTAAAATCTCTTTTTAAAATAATAAATATATATATATATGAAAATTCTTTATGTTATTTAGTTTTATTCTATTTTACTAGTTTTCATAGTAATTTTATAATAATAAGAATGATACCATTCGATCCACTACATTTTTATATATCGAATATATTATAAAAACCTCAATTTTATTTTCTAATCTTAAGCTTATATTTGACCTTTATAAAGTGAGTTATAGAATAAAACTATAGAGAAGTATGATAAAGTTTGTAAAAGATAAATACTACGGAAAAGATAATATATTTGGATTATATTCGCTTAGGAGTTTATAAGACTTTATAACTGGAATGGGAGTTGAATTCAGGGGCGTGAGAATTAGTAGAGTATAGTACTTAATAAAATCATACTACTAATACGATAGAAGACTTAGGGCCCGTTCGAATTATTTTCTTAATTTGTTGATAAAATGAATAATTGACTAATAATTTAATCTAAATTTCAGAAGTATAGGTTCAATTTTATAACCTATAGAATATATAGTAGTAATGTATTAACAAATGCTAGTTAAAGTTGTATTATAGATTTCGCGAGGTTATTATAACGTAGTTTAACACCGAGTGGCTTATATCACCGAATAACTCATTTCAAAATAGCCCAAAATTGGTCATTTTTGAATATTCCTATTTTAATAATTAATCATTATTTTTAAAAAATAAAAGAATATAAAATAATAATAAAAATTCAATATTTTAGAAATCTATTTTTTTTATAAATATTTTTATTATATTTAATAAAAAATTGAAAATATTATAGTTTTTGTTATAAAAAATCTATTTTAATAATAATTCTTATATTAATTCGAATTTTAAAAAAAAGATTAGATTTTTATAATACTTTTATAATTAAATTTTATATATCTAATTTCTAAAAAATTCTATCGATAAATAAAGAGAGTGTATGGTTATATACAAACGAATTTTGTATGTATTTGAAGTGGGTCATTTGGTGATATAGGCCACTCGGTGTTAAACTACGTTAAAAGTTTTTAATTTTTTTAATTTTGTAAAATTATATTTCATAGCTTTTTGTAATCAAATATAGTATTCAGCAAATCACGTTGTGTTGGAGCTACTTATGATGCATCCCGCAGTGTGTCTATTTGTTTTATGGCCGTATTTATTTCTTTAGATTTAAAAATACGAGTCAGAATGAATCGAAATGAGTCATAATCTTTGTGGGTGAAACTAAATCGCTGCCATTGCCTGATAACGGCAATCACATTTCCAACCAACGATTCTCTCGTCTTTTCATAGATATAAATAGGAAAACTCCTGACATTAAAATTCCAGATTAATTATATTCTCATACCAATTTTTGTTATTGTGCTTCAATTCTGCAATGCCATCATCTCCTAAAAAACATGCACTCGTCTTTGGTGCGACTGGTCTCATCGGCTGGGGAATCGTCAATGAACTTCTCTCGAGCTTCACTCAGCCCAGTGTTTTCTCAATGATTACTGCAGTAGCAAATCGCCCACTTTCTGCGATTGACAGCCATTGGCCAGAAAGGTCCCCACAAATGCCAGAGCTACAACTCGTCACAGGAATCAATTTGTTGGATGGGACATCGGAGGATTTAGCCACACAGCTCAAGGATTGTGTGAGGGCTGTTGATAGCATCACGCATGTTTTCTATACTGGTACGTGAAGTGACATTCGTTTGTTGGTAACGTTTTCTCACTTCTACCAGTCTTCGTTCCAATCAACGAGGACCATATCAAGGAAGCCGAAACAAATTCCGCTATCATGCGACGGGTCGCCGAAGCTGTCAACAGCCTCTGTCAAAACCTGGAGTCTTTTATATATATGGGTGGAACCAGGGCATGTCATCTCTTCCATCACTTAAACTTGCTTTCTAATCTACAAACAGGGCTACGGTATCTACCTTCCAAGCAGTAGCTTCGCAGCACCACTCGAGGAAAGCATGGCAGATGACTTGTCTCCCGACTATGCCAAAACAGTCGCATACCCGGGATACAGACGTGTTCTTACAGACGCAAGCAAAGATCGGAGTTGGAAGTGGTCTGAAATATGTCCGGATGCTGTTGTTGGCTTCAGTCCAATCGGGTCCAATTTCTCACTCGCCTTGCACTGGGCTCAATATCTTTCGTTGTACGGGTACAATCATGGCATACGTGAGCCAGCCGATTATGGTAAGGTTAAAATTGCCTTTCCCGGGTCTAAGGGCGGGTACAATGCATTGTTCACGCCTGTCTCGACACAGAGTTTAGGTCGCATCTCGATTCATGCTTCTCTCAATTCTGATAGATGTGGCGGGAGGATCCTAAATGCAGTTGATCACGGTAGTCCAACTACATTTCGTGAACTGTGGCCAAAGATCACTGGATGGTTTGGTCTTCAGGGTGTTGGTCCTGCTGATGAATGCCAACTCAAACCAAGCGAGTACATAGATAGATACAGGTCGCTGTTTGAAGACAATGGAAAACCGAAAGCAATCAGCGCTGGAGTTGGTGTGGGGAATAGACAGCTCGATAGTGTCGGCTGGTGGTTGGAATTCGATCGGCAATTGAGCCCGGACAGGCTGAGAGCGTCAGGCTTCGAGGAGGAAAGCGATCCTATTCAGGGTTGGCTAGAGGCTTTTGAAAAATTCAGAGCAGCTGGCATCATTTTCTAGCCAGACACCGACCCTCTGTGTTACTAAAAGTAGAGTAAGAAATTGCATTTGATGTACTGATGACATGTAAGATCTTACATCGAAGAGATACGAAAAACAGAGAAAAAGATCCTAATTCCCTTTTGCATGCTGATTGAAGGTCTGAAGATATCAGATAATTTGGCTAGTTGCCACAGAATGTTTCGTTTCTTATAGAGCTGGTTTTCTGAGCCTCACTGACTCGAGCGCTAGCGGTGGTTTTTTCTTGTTCTTTATTCCTAAGTCTTTTCAAATAAGGACTATTAAGCTGTTGAACTAACCCTGCTTGGGCGTTAGAATAAGTCAGAACTTTGTGTGTAGATATTATTTGGTGGCCAGTCCAGGTTGCACCTTTGCTATAATGTATGGAGGGCGAAGTTGTTCCTATACTATAGTCGCTCATCAGCCTCTCCTGATTGCCACGATCTGCTCTCGGGTGCTTTCTTGTATTTGATTCGCTAGCTTAGCATGTCCATATGCCCTTCGGAAGGCCCTACAAGACAGAAATGATAGTGATAATCATTATAACGCTTCAAAATTTTATATACAATGACTAGATATAGATACGAATTACTGAATCATGAATAAATATTCGACTTCAAGAACGACTTCATAACGGATAACATGGAGCATAAACTCCAAAAAGCATGTCTCAAATTGTGAAAATCAATAATAAGTTCACTAAATCACTTATTAATATCTTACTGATTAAAAGATATCTTGATGACTAATATATGTATAATATGATTTTATAATATAAAATTATATTATCATATAGTTATATAATAATATCTTTTATCAAATTAATTTATAATGGAATAGAATGGAATGGAATCAAATAGAAGCATATGGAAGATTATTATTAAATTAATTAAATTTGATTGATTGTACTTTCTTTTTATTATTTAAAATGATTTCATGAGATTCGATTTAAATCGGTTATATTTATAAGTATAGAAAATACTAGAATTTCATTATAAACTATATAAATCTAGGATATTCTTTAAAGAAAATCTAGAAAAAGTAAGTAATTTCATTACAAATAAGCCTAATTCTTATAAATTACCTTTAATTCAATTCTTATTATATATATTCGATTTGTTCCTAAAACCAAAACTAACTAGATCTTTTATTATTATTATTATAATAATTATTCTTATTATTATAAATTATAACCTCCAATACAAATAATTGCTTTAGTCTCAAGAAGAATTATCAGTTTTACCTCAAGTGGTATACCCGAAGGACCAGGATATCCTTACATTTTGTTCTCTTAGTATTGATTGTTGAAGTATAGAAGAGATGTAGAAGAAGACCTAAAATTAATAGTTACGATTGCTACTGCTATTCTTAGGTTCAGTCGTTTGTTGTCGTCCGCACCTTCTCTCTTTTCTTGATATTGTTTTATTTTGATGACCTTAACTTGTTCACTTTTAAAACGTCGCAAGAACAAAAATCCAGACTCAATTAATCATCAAGGTTGGTCAAAGAATGAATGGACTTCCACTAATAAAATGTGAGTCAGGTGATAACGGGTTGCCGTCCTCATTCTATTCTTCGAAGATATCTGAGAGTTCTAGAGCTAATAAGATAGAGCAATGCATTCCATTCAACTAATCACCATCGAAATAAGATATGCTATTAAAACTAAAGCTGGATTTAAATATTATATTGAATAACTTATATTTAATTAAAGATAAAATAATATTTTCCCAATTATTTACCTTACAATAAGCGCAAATAAATTATATTTAGAATCTTTAAGGATTTTAGACCTTAAGTATTTTCTAATCTTTCGGATTTCTAGGATTTCCTTTAGATTTTGAGGATTTCATAAAAAGTGATAGAGCTTTATATTTTCAATGAATTTTTACGATTTTAAAATTCTTAGGCTTTTTTAGATTTAAGATTTTAAATATTTTATATTAACGGAATATTATTAAATTCTAATTTTATAGGTTTTATATACTTTCGAGGTTGAGAGCTGATATTACGGGCATCGATATAGAATCGGCATCAGGCCGATATTATTCCAATACTAAAGCATTTTCATATATATATTGTGAGCGGAACATTATACTAATCATATGACCTATTCTTATAGCTAGTATTTATAGTTCTTCTTTCTATAGTTTAGAAACAATAATTAGTTCCCATCCAATTTCTAGTATAATTTATAAAGTATTATATAAAATCTCCTTTTGCTTTTTTTTATCTAAAATATTATATTATAATAATTTTTCTATAATATATATAAAAAACTACTCTATAACCCTATTACCTTTTATTCTTTTATATTGGTAATCTATATAAAAAAGAATATTGAAAGATTAGAGAGCTATATATAAATTTAAATTCTTAAATTACTTTAAAAAATTAGAAAATTATTAGTTTGAAAAAGTTAATAGAAGATGGAAAATAAGAAACTATTTAATATTATAATAAAATCAAAATAATAATAATTCAAGAATAGAAAAAGAAAAGAGAAAATTCAAATACTTTATTTTGAAAAATCGATTTGTGATTTTATATAAATTTAAAGTAAAAATAATATTATTCTTAAATGAATCAATTATATTTTTTAAAAAAAGATTATAAAACCAATTCATAGAAGCTTTTTTTATAATACTTATAGAAATCTAATTAATAATTTGATTTAAAAAAAAGTTTTCTTTTATAAAATGAATTTAAGATTAATTAGATAATATTTATTCTTGTATTTGAATATAATAAACGTTGAGTTTTTTATAACTTTCAAGATTATTTTAATATTATTTATATTTAGATGAAATTTAATTAATTTGAAAAACTCAAAATAATTTATAATGAAATTAGAGGTGGAATACTATTTAATTTAATTGAAATGAATTACTTATAAAAATAGTTTATTTATCTTTAAAATCAAATTTCTAAATATATTTCTAAGAGAAATTCGAGATCTAAATTTCTTATAATAAGATATCAATCTATATTTTATATTTTATTTTATAAAGAAATTTATAATTATATAAATCTAGGAAATTTTTTTATTTTTTGTTAAAATTTGATAAAATTATTAAAAAAAAAAAAAAGATAGTAACTATATTTATATTTATATTATATAAAAAATCTTTAAAAAATCTATTTATATAATTATTCAATTATCTTGATAAGTTTAATAATATAGAATTATTTAATATAATAATCAATTAGTATTATATTAACTTCTAATTTCAATAATAAAGCTAAATTTCAAGATAATTATTTAATAATAAACTCTGAATCCTTAAGTTTATTAATTAATTTTGATACTTTTAATATTTATTTATTTATTTTTAATTTACCTCCAGAGGGCAAGCTACAGGGGCTCGCTACAATCTCCCAGGGGGTACTAGAAATAAACTATATTAGCGAGGGTACTGGTATAGTCATACATTTCATTCTTCTATAGCTGTGATATAGATTAGAGAAAAAATGACTAAGGGTATTATATGTGTTTTTGCTATTTATCTCCTATTTATAATATCAATGTTATTCAACTTATTTTATATTAAACAGCCTAGGTTTATAACTAATTATAAAGCCTTATATTATTAGTTTTTGTGTGATATAGTTTATATATAGTAATAAAGAGGAGGGGAAAGTAATTCCAAAGGGGGAATATAATCTTGATTAGTTATATGAAAATAAGAGATTAGAGGTTTTTCAGAAAAGCTAAGTGTAATTACTTAAAATAATTGATAATTACTAGAAGGGTTACAAAATCTATTAAAATCTTTAAAAAAAAAAGAGAAATAGTTGATTATATTTTTTATATCTCATAAAATCAAGCTGGGTTTATTCAATTAATTATTGAATTAGATATAAGAATATCAATAAAGTATTAGATATTCAAACTCTTTATTATATCTATAGAAATATTCTAAAATAGTATTATTATACTAAAAGTATTAATAATAGAACGCAAAGTCCTTATATCTGGTTCTAAATATTATTAATTATTAAAAAATAGATTAAGAAAAAGTAAATTCCTTAGATTTCTTGATTTAATAATTGAGGTATTAGTAATAATATTGATTGGTGAGGGTAACCTTATTTCACTTTTATTATTTCTATTTTGTTTCTTATATAAAAGTTTTGGTTATTAAGCTTATTCTATTAATAATAGGGAATGATAAATTATTATTTTTGATGTAATTGCTATAAACACTTAGATTAGTAAGCTAATTGATTTTCTTATTTTTAAGGATTTCAATATATTCAAATGATTATTAGATTATTATTTATTTATTTCTTATAATCTTATAATAATATACAAATGCTTATTAGAATAAATCAGAAATATTACTTCTAATATATTAAATAATTGAGATACTATTGATATATATAATAATCTGCTTAGTCAATTTCAATCAGATAGTATATTCTAAATCTTTTAGAGTATTTATTATTTCAATATTAAAAATATATAAAAAGAGATTGATTATTTTATAATCAAATATTATCGGAGATTATTCCTAGTAGATTATATAATCATAATTAATTATTTTTTGCTCTTAATAATATTATTCAATATTATTTAAGAAGATTATAATATAATTATTAAATAAATAATTCCATTATTATATGAATTCAAGTGCAACTACTTTTTTATATATATCTTTTATAAGATTAATATAGCTTTCTATAAAGAAATATAATAAGAAAAGTATTAATCTTAATACTTTTAGAATTAATTTAATTAATCTATAAAGATTAATATTGTTTATTTTATATTAAAGTATTTATATTAAATAAATTACTTATAAATGATTTTCGTTTATTTTACAGAATTGGAATACAAATCTTATTCATATTTATTTAAATACTAATTTATTAAATAATAATCTAAAGTCTCTTAGGATTATAATAATCAAAGTTATATATTAAATAAATAGAACTTTTTTTATTACTAGAATAATCATTTAATTAATTTTAATAATATAATTATTTAATCTTATACT